TATTCCCCCTTCTCATGCTATATTAAATTCAGATGCATCTTTCTCCAACAGTGATTACTTTGAGTAGGAATAACCCTCGAAGATCAGGGCCGAGTATGACTCGGTGGTTAGCGTGCTGGACTGCGGATCTCTGCTCGCGTTCCGTTATCACAAAAAAGAAAAAAATCGTTCTCAGGTCTTTGCAGCCGTGGGTGCGTTATAACGGTGATGGCTAATTCCTACTATTCGATCAGACAACAATAGCCAAAAAACAGGTGATGGTTGCTTGCTGTTAACTAGTTGCCCTCCCCTCTGGTCTGTGAATTCAAAATTAGGGTATACTATTGCAGGTAGTTCTTGAATAACTTTGAGTAAATTTCCGAAAAAACACCCTCCAAGATCTCGCTTCTTGATGCATGGGAAAGATTCGTTTGTGTTTTTTTTTTGTGTGTGTGTGTGTAGTAAAAATATATTTTTAGCACTGTATAAAATAGTATTGTTAATTACAGTTATATATTTACTTAATTTCACTTTTATTTGTTTTTGATCGACGTAGAATAAACGTACAATGAAAAGCTTTCATTTATTCAACATCCTCACAAAAGTGTTTCTTGTGTGATAATTTTTTGGCTTGTAAAAATGTCTAGTTATATAAAATGAGTATTAATGTTACAGGTTATTGCTGTGATATACAATCCCTTAGGAAAGACTGTGAAGCATTATGTTAGATTTCCAGTTTACGGACAAATGTACCAGGTCTTAAACGAGAAAGGAACGTCCATACAACACCAGGTAACAGTTTGTCATGGTTCTCTGCTTCAATAAGTGAAATTCTAGGCTTTCCAACAACGTTTACCGAACACAATGAAAATAAAGGAAATATTAATAACTATATAATTTATTTGCAATTAAAACATGGTTATCATAACTATAAATAGGTATTTATCAATGGATAGATATAAAAGAAATATAGACTGTCTTAGGCATAGATAATGTGCATTTCGTGTGAATACAGTAAATACCGATAAATGAATTCAGAGAATC